ATATCTTGAAGTCACCATAAACATGTCATTAAGTTTCTTGTAATTTATTTTATATACAAGATCTCTGATATTATAGTCATTTTCTTTCATCTGTACATAAAAATAGATGTTAATTACCATTGTGAAATAACACTGCCATTTTTAAACTCCTTGTTAAACTTTCTATAAACCCTTAGCTTTAAATATGTTTGAGTCCCAAAGCAATAATTTCGTGCCATTGCAGAAACAAATGTTGTCCCTTACATTATAATAAATTTAAATTCTTTATACTATTTTTGATAAGCATATATCTTATAATTTTCTCCAAGTAAACTCGTAAATTCTTTGAGTTGTGATATTAGTTGTTCCAGAACTTCTGATATATAATTTAAATGGTATGTTTATCATTACACACTGTCAGGAAATAGAATGAGTATCAGAGAAATGGATACTGATCTTATTTATTATGATTCTTATTCTTAATAAATCAAGAGCGACATTCAGCTCCTGCATTAGTAAGGTTTAAGTCTTTATTCAAATTATCCAGTTCATTCTGAGTTTAGAAGATATGACTGGAATAAAAACTTTATCAGTTCCCATTTCTCTGATGCTCCTGACAGGGCGTGCAATAATACTTCTGTTTGCAAAGTATAGCTAATAAAATATAGCTAATAAAATTAAATATTAAAGTATATCAGTTGTAATAGTTAACATGTATTTATTGATTTACATTACTTCTATGAGTTATAAGATCTCTTGTTGTGATTGTGTTTTCTTCATTTAATAATGGTCTTATAAGATTTTTTGTTTCTACTTGATTTTTTATAAAAATTCAACATTTTTGTTAAGAATTTAAACATTTTGCTGAATACTAAAATAGATGATACAAGAAAAGTAATTCCATATTTAGAATCTTCATCAAAGAACAATTCATAAACAACTAAAATATGGCAACAAACACAAATTTTTTTAAATATTGATACATGGTGTTATCCATGCATAAAAAATAAAAAACAAACTAAGCATATTGACAAAATAAAAACTAAAATATCAAGGAGCTAAAATAAAATGCCACTCAAACCAAGTTATGGCAAGGTAAATTATTAGTAATTGGGTTATATTACTGATGTTTACATTTCTAATTAAATATCTTTTCGACATGTAAATTAATGTCATATTTTTTTTATAAGATGTTATTCCAAGATTGGTAAAGTCGGAGGCGAGCAACCAATTAGTATTGGTGATGGATGTCGTTGGAAAGGTTTTTTACTTTTTATACTTTATAAGTTTATATATATGTGTGTGTGTGTTTGTGTATATATATATATATATATATATATATATATATATATATATATATATATATATATATATATATATATATATATATATATATATATATATATATATATATATGGAATTTGTTAATGAATTTTTATTACAGGTACTGTGGTTCACTTAATAATGCATGCATTAGGATTTTTACATGAAACTGCTCGTATGGATCGAGATGAATCCATTGAAATTAATTATGCAAACATGGATCCAAGTAAGAAACCACTTTAATTACACACTCTTTTCATTTGCGTATCATCAACAACATGCCCTCAGTTTTATTATTTTTTAGGTTAGTTTATAATAAGTTTTTTCTATGAGAAAGTGTGAAAAACTTTAAGTTGATGCTTAATGAATTTTCAAATAACTTTATTCTTAATAACTTTTGGTGCAAACATAAATTAAAATTTTTTTATCTTGTCTTTAAAAATTTCCAGTGTATAAGAAACTAAAGTAGTCTATGTATGAACCTTTTGGTACTCCAAGTTCTTCAAATACTTTTTTGTACTCCAAAAGTTGTCTATGGATGTACCTTTTGGTATTCCACAATAAACATAATTTTTATTTGATTGTCATTTAAGTTATATTTATTGAGCACCATGTAAATTTATAGTTGTTCAGTTTTTTTAATAATGAAATTGTGGGTAATAAAAACTAGTTCTGTATATTCTTTAAATTGTGAGTCAGAAAGTTCTATATTTTCTTTAAAAAATAAAGTTGAGCTTAGAGTACCTTTACTTAGAGTTTTTTTTTTAAATAAAAGTATTTTGATAGTCCAAAAACTTTTCAAGTTTCAATCTAGGTAAATGCATATTCTTTTTTATATAAATTTTAATCTAGGTAAATACTCTTTTATATAAAATGTCATCCAAAATAATTACCTCAAAATTTATTCAAAATTTAACTAAAGGTGTTAAAGTTCCAAGATATCTATCAACGTGTCTAGACTAGGATTTGGGTCACATTGAATCATGATTTTAAATGGTTTTTTTCTTATCCAGACAAGGTGTAAGAAGGTATTCAAATAAATTGTGTTACTACAACCACTTTTTGACATATATGATCAATAGCTATTATTTTAATACTTTTTGCTATCCCCAGTCGGCCCTATAAAAATAGATTTGAAACTTTGGTTTGAAAGTAACTAAAAAATTATAAAGGTCTGGTAAGTGATCTTTTTTAATAAGTATAATCAATGACTTTCAAACCAAGTTCATCTATTTTTCACAGAGCCAACTGGGGATACTAAAGGTCATAATCCTAATGATCAATATGCTCAGTTGTCATGATGCTCATCTTATGAGTGTCATGGCATGAGTTGTCATTGCGTTTAAACAATCAAATTATTTAAATTTATTATGAAAATCAGTTTGTGTAACTTATTACAATTTTGTGCACATAATTGTTCCTTTGAACAAGACATCTAACTGAGCTAAATAGATTTTCTACCTCATACTCTTAAAATTTATTTGTTGCTAGATGCAGGAATTAGGGTTATATGAAAAATTTGTGCAGAGGTTTTAGGCAACATTTGAAATATTAGGATTTAAAATCCTAGTGCAAATTAAAGCCTCATGACTACTGTTTGTCTAATTTGAGTCTAAACCGGTTGGAAACAAAGCATTTGTTTTATCAATTTTTAGTAAAAACATCTTTAATTATCCAACTCTAATATAATGGTGGTTTAAAAAACACCACTTTTAGCTCTTTTTTTTCTTGGTTTTGTAAATATTCAAAATTGCACATATATAGTCATAAAATTTCACTAAAAAATTACGAGAGTTTTTTAATAGGTGTAAATACATGTATAACATGTGGGTCAGTAAACTTAGAGTAAACTTTCCTGATACTTATTGTACTGTACCAGTAGTCACGTCTAGATAAACAAATTAATCTATTTTTATCGGTTTTAATTTTGTTAATAAATATACTTGTTAATAAATAATAAAAAATGTACTTTTTTATTATTTAATTTAACTTATTTACAGAGAAATTTTAGTTGCAAAATTAATGTTTCTCTTATAAATTTATAGAAATGGCTGTAAACTTTCGTAAATATGATTCTGTTGGTCAGAAACTTCATCAGTTGTAAGTGTAAAATTTTATTAATATTTTTTTTTGCTTTTTTTATATTTTTACTAGCAACTACACATGAACTTTAATTTTAAATATATTTATTCGATTTTCAAAGAATTTTTTTACTGGCAATTTAACTACTAGGCTATCAAAATCATTTCCCATAGTTTCTAATATATCCATTATAAAAAAATTGTTCTTGCAAAATCAAAATTTTTTGTTAAAATTTCAAGAAAACAGCAATATCAGGCATAAAGTGATCAATGTTTTTAATGTTTATAATAATAAATCCTATGAAGATTTGACTAGCTTTATTCCTTTTTTAGACAAGCACGCAACATTAAAAAAAAATTAGTAAATGTGACTGAAAGAAAAAAAAAACTACAAAATTTAAAGAAATTTAATGGTAGCAATAATCTGAGGCAGCAAAGAGATTTTGTTTTGTTTTGTTATTAGATGCAGGTAATTTGACGTGCTTGAATTAGACTGAGTAATGAAAGCCCATATAGAAATATGAAACATTTTTTTTAGTTTTTTAATTCTTTAATTAATAAACACTAAACCTCTCATCTTGAATCTAATAACTTACATTCTGATCATCAATATGGATTTTGATCTTCTCGTTCAACAGCTGATTTGCTAACAGTAATAACTGATAAGTTTTATTGTCCATTAGATAGAGGTGGAGAGGTTAAGGTTTTCCCTCATGACATTTCTAAAGCTTTTGATAGAGTTTGACATGCTGGTCTTTTCCGTAATCTTTCTTCTCAAGGTGTGTCAGGTAACATGTTTAAGATTATTGAATCCTTTCTTTCCAATTGTAATATAAAAGTTGTCCTCAATGGGCAGCACTCTTCTTCATATCCTGTAACTTCAGGGGTTCCTCAAGGTCCTACACAAGGTCCTATACTCTTGGTCCTATACTCTTTTTAATTTATATTAACAATCTTCCAGATACTCTTACACCTAATGTAGAATTGTTTCCTGATGATACTACTATTTATTCTTGTCTTGATAAGAAGCCAACACTCTCTAATTGCTTGGAAGGGGCATTTGAGCTTCAAAAGGATCTTACTTCTGCTAACTAATCATTATTGTAATAATCAAGATCTTCCTATATTTATGAATGGTAATGTACTTGATGAGTTATCTACTCTTCATCTTCTAGGATTAGCTCTTACTTCCGATATTTCTTGGAAACCATATATTAAATTGATTGGAAAATTAGCATCTGCTAAGGTTGCATTGTGCTCAACACTATCTTACTCCGGATTCTATTCTTTATCTCTATAAATCCACAGCCAACCTCCAACCATTATCACATTGTCGTAATGTTGCTTCTCCTTCTCTTTTCTATAAAAACTGTAATGGGCACTGCTCTAAAGAGCTAGTTTCTCTTGTGCCGTCTACTAAAATTCATTCTAGCATTACTCATCATTTAATTTAGTCTCATCCTTTTACTGTGACTGTTCCTAAGTGCTCATTAAACTCTTATTCATCTAGTTTTTTTCCTTGAACATCAGTTCTTCGGAATTCATTTTCCTCATCTTGTTCTCCTGAGTCATATAATTTACAATCTTTTAAGTTGTCTGTCAATCGTTATCTTGTTCTATAAACTTTATCTTTTCTCTTCCAGTAACTTCCAAACCTAATAGTGGCTGCTTGCAGCCTTGTTGGAAGCAAAGATGTTGAAAAAAAAAGAGAGAGGCTTTTCCAAAATTTTTTCTAATTATTTCAAAAATTTAATGGCAGCATGGAAGAATGTTTTAACATATACATTTAAAAGATATCTCATAAACTATTTTTATATCTTCCAGCATTTTCATAATGCATGATCTAATTTAAATAAAGTTTAAACTCTTTATTTGTGGTGTGATTGATAATCTTTGCTTGTAACATCTTTATTATTTATAGAGGTTTGCTTGTGGCATCTTTATTATTTATAGAGATTGGAATCAGGAGTAAGAAAATAGTGAATATAGTAAATAGAGATAACTTTAGCAAATGCTATTTTTGCAATAGATTTGATATATGAGATATGTTTCTATGAGAAAACAATTGTGTAAAAAATCTGAGAAGATGCATAGAAAAGGCTTAGTAAGAGTGTTGCTCACCTTGTTCTCTCTGTGCATTAGTAGGCTTACCTTGTTAGTTAAGGTTTTTTATTGATTACCTTGTTAGTTAAGGTTTTAAGTTGAAAAAAAAAATTTTTTTGACGGCTTTTTCAACCTTATGGAAATAAATACAATGAATATATATATATATATACATATATATATATATATATATATATATATATATATATATATATATATATATATATATATATATATATATATATATATATATATATATATATATATATATATATATATATATATATATATATATATATATATATATAATCAAATTGTTTTCATTTTACACAGTGTTTCATCAATAAAGACTCAGTCTTTATTGATGAAACACTGTGTAAAATGAAAACAATTTGATTAGTGATTTTTGTCTAATTTATTATTGCTCTGTTTTTTAAGAATATATATATATATATATATATATATATATATATATATATATATATATATATATATATACATGTATATGTATATATATATATATTTACATACATTTATATATGTTTTTATATGTTATATATATATATAGATATGATTACTCAAGTATTATGCATTATTGGCCATTGGCTTTTTCTAACAATAAACTGGCAACAATTATTCCATTAAAATCATCTGTTAAACAAGATGACATAGGGCAACGTTATGGTTTTAGTACAGGGGATATTCGACGCATTAATGAAGCCTATCGGGTACTTATTTTTAAAATTATCTGGTACTTATTTTTTCATATAAAATATAAATGTCATAAACATTTACTAGTCATTTTTGTTGTGTAAATTTTTATATATTTTTTACAAAACATGATTTGTTTTATATTCAAAATCTGCTTGTGATAGTATTTTTCTTTTCTTTTTGCTTTTGATTTAGTTATATTTAGTTATGTTTATGTTTACTTAATGTTTATTTAATTTACATTTATTTAATGTTTGTTTAATTACATTTTATTTAAGATTGCTATTTTATACAATATGATGTAAAATATTGTTAGTTTTTTTTTTATAATTTATTTTTTTCTAATTTAAGTAAAACTTATTTAATTTATTGTATATAAAGTTATCCTTGTCAAACGAACGAATTTGACAAAGAGAACTTTATTAACTTTATTCTCATAAAAAGGAACTCAGTATTGACTTGGACTACTCTAACCACTTAGTACTTAGGTTACCTAGGTTACTTAGACTTCTGTAAAAGTTCTATCTGAATTTTGACAAACTTTTTATTTGAAAATTGTCTCTTTACAATTGTTAAAAGTTTGTTCCAACATTTATGGGATTTGCTGATAGATAAACAATAATAAATAATAAGGTACTCGGACAGACAATGTACATGAGTTTAACAAACGTTTGTTTTAAATTTTTATCTGATACTATTATCTTAAATTTGTATCTTATACTAATATTAATACTATTGTGTTGATTTAACAGAATCTTAATTATTATAGTAATGTTAACAAATAAATCAACTTTATTTATTGACATTTTTTACTATATGTGCAGAAGTTATTTTAGAAAAAAACAAACATCTCTATTATTGTTATCATTATTATTTTTTTAAATTAAGCTAAAACTTTATTTAAAGCTTTTATTGAGATATTTAAATTGATGTTGAGATATTTAATTGATTTTTGAAACATGATAATTGATTTTTTAGACATTTTTTATTTTTTTATATATAAAATTAGAACTTTGTAGAATTGGTGTAATTTAGCTTTCAATATCTACATTTGAAAGGTTTGTGTAGTTTAGCTTTCAATATCTACATTTCAAATAAATTTTCAAATCCACTCAAGAAGCTTTTTTTTAAATTGCATTAATAAAACTTAGTTTCAATTTCATCAAATTATTTATTAGCAAAAAGTAAAAAAATTTATTGCTCAAAGATGATGAGAAAAAAATTTGAAGAATGGGTATTATTATTTGCAGTATTATAAACAGTAAAATGACTAATCATGGTCTGTAAATTATAAGCAGTAAAATTAGTAATCATGGTCTGTAAATTATAAGCATTAAAATGAGTATTCAGGGTCTGCTTATAATTGATTTTTTAGACATTTTTTATTTTTTTATATATAAAATTAGAACTTTGTAGAATTGGTGTAATTTATAAGCAGTAAAATGAGTAATCACGGTCTGTAAATTGTAGGTTAAAAATTTCAGTGGTTTCCCAAAACCGTTTGAAAGTATGAATGGTTACATATGGTAGAGTAACTAGGAAAAATATAAATATCTTTTAGTTTTGTTTGAGAGTGTTATTTAATTTTGATTTCTGCAAAATTGTTTACCATGTTTGTAAAAATGTAAAAGAGAACTTACAAAATTTATTATTGAACTTGTGAAAAACGGATTTTAATATTAAAAAGGTTTCAAGCAGAGTTTATGGTCGAAAATTGAATCAAAATGATGCTAAAGTTTTATTTCCTGAGCTGTTTAACTTTAATTCAATTCATATTAGGTTATATTAAGGCTGTACCAGATTTAATTTTTCCAAATCCAGCTGGAGCCGGATTTGCCGGATTTCTACTAACAGATCCTGCCAGAATCGGAGCCAGAGCCGGATTTTGAAGCAAAACTACAGGAGCCAAAATCCTGTACATCCCTACTTGGTCCTGAAAATGATCAACAATGTTGACTATTCAGAATACCAAGTGACAGTTGTTTTCTGTTAAACTTCATTTTTGTATTTAAAAAATTTTATAGCAATTTCTATAGAAATTAATAGATATTTTATATAAATTCTATAGAGTTTCTATAGGCCATATATTGTATTAAATTGTAAAGAAATGTAAATACAGATACCAAAACAAACATGAAGTTCATAGACTATAAAATTACCAAAAAAATTGATTTGTAAAAATAAAGTATTAAGTATACATGTTATCACGGTCAAGAAAGATGTAATAAATATCTGACCAAAATTCAGTAATCCAGCTAAAGTTATGCCGGATTTGCTAACATTTTGCCGGAGCCGGATTTGGGCCGGATTTGTAAAAATGGCCGGATTTCGGCCAGAGTTACTTGAAACTTTTACCCCCAAAAAGTGTTTATGAGAATTATTTTAAGTGCTAACTCCTATAAAAAATTATAAGTGTTAAAATTTACAGACCATAATTTCAAAAATCGTATAAATTATATTATCTTTATGGTAATTAAACATTAATATGATTATTGATAATATATATTATTAATAGTATAAATTAATTAATGATAATGTATGGTAATATATATTAAAATAGAATAATATTAATAATTGTATGGTAACTTTATGGTTTTTTGTTTAACATTTACACAATTAATGTATAACACATTTTAATGTATAACACAATTAATGTATTACACAATTAATGTATAACACAATTAATATAATAACACAATTAATGTATAACACATTTTAATGTATAACACAATTAATGTATAACACAATTAATGTATAACACAATTAATGTATAACACAATTAATGTATAACATATTTTAATGTATAACACAATTAATGTATAACACAATTAATGTATAACACAATTAATGTATAACACAATTAATGTAATAACACAATTAATGTATAACACAATTAATGTATAACACAAATAATGTATAACACATTTTATTGTTTTCATTTTGCAAATTTAGAGTATAAGCAGCACTGGTGTCACAGAAGAAACATTAAGTCTGTCATTAGGAGGAATTGGAAGTTTACAAGCAGGAGGTTCTATAAACTCACATCCTGGAGCTGCAGTAAATCTTCAAGCAGGAGAAACAGTAAATCCATCAATAGGAGTAACATTAAATTCACAAACAGGAGGAGTTGTAAATTTACAAACAGAAAGCTCACAATCTGGAGGAACAATAAGTTTACCAGTTGGAGGAAAAGGAAACTCATCAATAGGATTAACGTTAAGTTCTTCAGTAGGAGGAGCAGTAAATTCACAAGCTGAAAAAGCAATAAATCTCCACGCAGGAGAAATAGTAAATTCACAAACGGAAGGTTCAGTAAGTTTGCAATCTGGAGAAGCAATTAATCTGCAGGCTGAAGGTAAAGTAAATCCATCAATAGGATTAACATTAGATTCATCAGCAGGAGGAATAGCAACTTCACAATCAGAAGGAGCAATAAATCTCCAAGCAGGAGAAACAGTAAACTCACAAACAGTAGGTTCAGTAAGTTCACAATCTGGCGGAGCAGTTAATCTGCAGGTTGAAGGAAAATTAAACCCATCAATAGGATTAAAGCTAAGTTCACCAACTGGAGTAGCAGTAACTTCACAAGTTGGAGGAGCAATAAATGAACAAACAGGACAAACAGTAAGTTCTCAAACTGGTGGTTTAATGAGTTCACAATCTGGAGGAACAACAAATCTACAAACTGGAGGAAAAGTAAATTCGTCGACAGGATTAACATTAAATTCATTAACTGGAGGAAAAGTAACTTCACAAGTTGAAGGAGCAATAAATGAACAAGCTGGAGAAACAGTAAGTTCGCAAACCGAAGGTTTAATAAGTTCACAATTAGGAGGAGCAACAAACCTACAAGGTGGAGGAAAAGTAACTCCATCAATAGAATTAAAGTTAAATTCACCAACTGGAGGAGAATTAATTTCACAGGTTGGAGGAGCAGTAAATGAACAAGCAGGAGAAATAGTAAATTCACAAACAGAAGGTTTAGTAAGTTCACAATCCGGAGGAGCAATAAATCTACATACTGGAGGAAAAGTAAATCCATTAATAGAATTAACACTAAATTCACCAACAGAAGAATCAGTAACTTCACAAGCTGAAGGAACGATAAATAACCATGCAGGAGAAATAATAAATTCACAAACAGAAGGTTTAGTAAGCTCGCAATCTGGAGGAGCAATAAATCTACATTCTGCAGGAAGAGTAAATCAGTTAATAGGATTAACATTAAATTCATCGGGAGGAGGAGCGGTAAATTCACAAGCTGGAGGAGCAATTAATCTTGACTCAGGAGAAAATGTTGTTACACAAACCGAAGGCTCAGTAGGTTCACAAGCTGGAGAAGTAATTAGCTTACAATCTGGAGGTAAAGTAAACCCACCATCAGAATGTTTAGTAAGTTCACAAGCTGAAGAAACAGTAAATTCACAAGTAGATTTGAAGAATGAAGAAAAAGTAAATCTTCAAGAAGGAGAGAATTTAAATTCATCAATAGGAATCTTATTAGATTCACCAACAGGAACAATAGTAAATTCAAGCGCAGAAGGTTCAGTAGGTTTACAATCTGAAGGAAAAATAAATGTAAAAACAGGTGGAAAAGTAAATCCATGTTTAGGAGTGGCATTAAATTCACTATCAGGAAAAGCAGTTAACTCACAAGTGGAAAGTTCAATGAGTTCACAAACTGAAAAACCAGTCTATCTACATGAAGAAGGATCACTAAATACACCAGATGAAGTAATAAATGCACCAACTGAAGGAACAGTAAATGTTAAAGAAAAAAATGACTCAGTATATAATATACTTAAGCCAACAAGCTCAAGTTCCTTGGTAGATGAGGCAGTGAGTAACAATCCTTGTTTAACTTCGCCACCATCTTTGTCACCATCTTCGCCACCACCTCAAGGTGAATAAGATACCAAATTGTTAAGGTAATTTTCAACAACGCATTTGAATTCAACATGATTGTCTTTTTTTAGATAAAATTAAAGGCTGTTTGAAAACAACTCCAATTCCAAGAAGAAATCCACCAACAGAAAAAACAGTTGGCTCACATGCAAATCTAGGAGCAAACCCACCATTAGTATCAGTTATAAATGGTGGAGTAGCTAATCTTTTCGAACGTAAGTCAATTATTAGCATTTAGAGCATAGTTTATTTTTAGAATGTTATCATTTTTAGTTTTATTTTAATCATTTAGTTTTTTTATATGGTTAAAAAAAAGCATGGTTATATGTAGTATATATATTAAAACCATGGTTATATTAAGTTTACTATGAAAAATCAATGTTATAAACTACTTTATAACATAAAATACTTGGTTTTTAAAAAAATTACTTTTTGTAGTTAAAAAAAAACGATTTTTTTTTAGAGTATCCATCGTGGCCATTTGATTTCAAAATTTCTCCATCAACAAAGCCGTGTTGCAATGGTAATATAACCCATAATTGTAAATGTAATTGTATTTCAATTTTTATAAATGAAGCAGCGCATCCTTCAAAAAGAAATTATTTGTGTCATAAAAAAAGGTCAAAAGATCCTGGATTTGTTTTATCTGAAACTGGTAAGTAAAATACTTCGTTTTTCTAATATTAATAATTAGAGGTTCAAGTCATCATTTACGATAATCAGAAACACTAAGAAAGTTTACTTTAATTTCAAGAAAGCGTGTACAAAAAGTTCGTATTTCAGTCTTTTTTTGGATGTTTCTAAAGTGGTTGAGTTTAACGTGTTTATAGACAATCCAAATTCGAGGTGCAGTCAAGGTGAAAGATTTTGATCCTAGGGAGGCTTTTGATAAGCGATGTGTAAATTGGCAACTGTCTGATAATCTTGTGTTTTGTTTTGAAATTGGGGTTTTATAGGAGTTTGAATAGATATGCAGAAGAATTTATTGTCAATGTTTTATATCTAATAACTGATGCCTTACAAATTATTGTTTGATGGATTTATAATCAATGAAGAGATTTTACTAATTTTTCTGATTTTAAATGGAATGGAAAATGAGATGTGATTGGGCATAATCTATTTTGAGTACATTACAATTTTTTAGGATTCTTCTAGTAAAAACCTAATAAAAGTTGTAATGACAATTTGAGAGTTGCAAGCACACACAATTGCCACTAGCAATTGTGTTTGCAGCTTTTTTGGTAATACATGAATATATGTGGCAAACAGTACAAGTATGGTATTTAGCAGAATTTTGAAACTAGTGTTGAAACTAAGGTGGCACCTTGGGTTTACAGATTTTATTATAGTTAGTATTGTTCCAGATAACGTAATTTTAAAATCATTTTTAAGTTTGCCAGTTTGTTTCCTAGATCTAAATAAGATTCTGTTTTGTTTGGGTTAAGTAAAAGTCCATTTTGTGACTGCATTAGCATATTCAGTGATTTTGGTTAATATTTTATTTTCCTGGGAATGAAAGTGTATATTAGAGTATTATAAAACATCAAAAATAGAACATAATAGAAAATAGTGAAGTCGCTACGCTATCCTATACAACTCTTGTTGAACTTGCTGACTAGATTTTTTAGACCAATAGAAATATAGGGTTTTTGAGAGTACAAGTATGATGTCAGCTATTTTAGTGCAACATCTGCGACACCAAATTCATCTTTTATGGCAATAAAAGATGAATTTGGTGCTTTATTGGCAATCAGCAGGTTGTAATCAATTGTATCAAATGCTGCAAATATATCCAGAGAAGGGAGAATGATGGTTAGAGCATCATCAATGTTTAACAGGATGTCATTGCATATCTTAATGAGTGCTGTTTCGGTTTAGCGGTCAGATCTAAAACCAGATTGAAAAGGACTGAAGTTTACAGTTAAAGTTGCATTTGGAAGAAGCCAAGATGAAGTAAACTTTTCAAGAGTTTTTGATATTGTATTGTTATAGGCCAGAGATCAGTGAGATCAAATACTATTTTTCCTGACTATGGGAGTCCGTGTAATTTGAGCAATCTTGAATGACCCTGGGAAAATTCCAGATTTGAATGAGAGGTCAACGAGATGAACTATTATTGAAGTGTATAATTCTAAACATGGTTTAATGTTTGTTAGAATAGTTCTAAACATGGTTTAATGTTTGTTAGAATAATTCTAAACATGGTTTAATGTTTGTTTGAATAATTCTAAACATGGTTTAATGTTTGTTAGAATAATATGAGGCGATGTCTTGGGTTTGAGAGTTTTGATTACTTGTGACACATCTGTAAGTGACTGTACCAAATGTTGTAAAAATATCTACAGGAAGAGGTTACTCCAAAATTAAATCAGATTCTGGGATTGGGAACAAATTTTATACTTTCAAGTTTGCTTATAAATTATTGACTTATTGTGTCATCAACTATTAATGGTAAATGATGCTTTGCATAATGATAAGTTGCCAAATTTTATTTGTGCAATTGCAGCATTGCTTGTTAGTGTAATTTCTTGTTTACCACTGCGCAAATCTTGTTTGTGATTTTTTGATAAATGTTTTTTTTGTTTGTTTTTGTTTTTTATTTCAAGTTATTAATTTACATGGTTGACTCGTATTTATGCAAGGGCTAAATGCTTAAATAAATATAGTAAATAAGTGTGAAATAAAGTGTCTTCAGATAATCAGGAAATCTTTTCATTTTCGATTTATTTTTATAGTTTTTTTTTTTCGAAACTAGCTAATCCAATTCTAAAAATTAATGGATCATCTTCAGCGGAATTTTTTACTTTTTAAAACTACATTTTAAGTTTTGCGCTGAAAGTTTATGTTCAGTCAGTTAATTACAATTAATTAAAAAGTCAAATAAAAAATTGTTAAATGTTAAAAGTTTTTAAAAAGATTTTTCAAAACTAAAAAGTACTCGGTTTTACTTTTTTTATATTTGTTAAAAAAAGTTATAATTTTTGTGTTAATATATTTATTGATTAAGTGAAAGTTTATTGAGTTGTTCTCAACAAAAGAAAATCTTTTTTTCACGACAGTTGTATTGAATCCATGTGACTGTTGTTGATAATTTTGATGCAATTATGGTTCGGTTCGTTTTGAAATTTAACAAATTTCCAAGCTCTATATAGGAGGGGGAGGGGGTTAAATTTTTTAACGGCTAAATTACTGGCCATAATCAAAAATGCCTTTGACTAATCCAATAACTTTTTTTTTTTTTTTAGACGAATATCCCATAAAAGATTGCGTATTGCTTCCATTTGAATATAAATCGAAAAGGTTTTTGTGTTATTCACGCGAACCAAATTACAAACTTCGCTGGTCGAGTAATCCACATGCTAAAAATTGCATTCAATACACATTAGGTACACTAAGAAAGAAATTATGCGGTTCACTATCTCAGTAATGTGGTTAACTATCTTAGTAATATGGTTCACTATCTCAGTAATAATGTGGTTCACTATCTCAATAATGTGAACTCTATTTGGGAATTTTTGGGGAAGACTCTTTGAAAAAAAAAAACACAACCTATTTTTTAATAATGAGTAGTTTATTTCCAGTTATATATATTTTTTTAATTCGAGAAATTGTGAATTTAATGTCCGTTAGTAACGGGATTGGCAAAAACTTAGGTTTTTAAAAAACAAAAAAAAAAAAAAACGAAAAAAACCTGGTTTTTTCTGGGGCTTTCAGTTTTTAATAGGTTTTTTAGACTTTTGCAAAAAATATTGTAATTTTCACGGAGTAATATTTGGTAAAAATAAAAAATAAAACTTTTATATTATACTCTTTTTGTTCTGCATAAAATAATATGAAATATATTTTAAAAAGTTAACGACTTTTTTAAACACCAAGGATATTTACAAATAGCAAAAAAAAGTAAACAACTGAAAAAAAACATTGTTAGATAAATAGAATCTTAGAGTTTAAGTTTTAGATAAAAAAAAGGTATTATATATATATATATATATATATATATATATATATATATATATATATATATATATATATATATATATATATATATATATATATATATATATATATATATATATATTATAGATATATATATATATATATATATATATATTTTATAGATAAGAATAAAACACTTTTTGTGCGTTTGTGTGTAAAAACAGTATATCTTCCATGAGTTTTTTTTTTTGTTTTTGTTTGCAAGCTGCTTATTTTTTATGCGTCGATTTAACAAAAATGTTGCAAAATTCAGTTGGATTTCTTCTGCAAACGGTATCTAGTTCTTCCTTTAGGTTATTTATCGTTCTATTTAGACCCTGACTTATTCTTTGTCCATCCAAGCCCAAATAGATTCTATTGGATAAAAATGAGGCGATTAAACTCGGGCGATATGTCTACTTTATTTTCATGTTTGACTCTACGAGCTGTGTGGGCCGTGGTCATATCTTGTTGAAAGTGACGCCATTCGTTTCAATTGTTTAACATGTCTACGCATGAAACAATGCAGTTCTCTAGCGTTTTTACACGCACTTACTCCGTTAAGATTAAAGGAGCACCAAATATCAATACTCCTATCGCCACCATGCAACTTTGGTACAACAAAGCGATAACAATACTTTTTAAATGTAAATCTTTTATTACTTTAAAATTAATTTCATCACGGAAAATTACTTGCTTCCACTTCTCCAAAGATCACCTAAGTCACTCCTTACACCACTTTTAATTTTATTGGTCGTTCTCTGGTCAGCATGGGTTTTCTAACAGCTGTATTATACTAGGTCAGAATTTAAAAAGGTACATTTTTTATTTCATCTTAAAGTAACCCTTTTTAAGGCATATATTTATTTTCTAAATAATTTAAAAAAAAACGGGCATCGGTTTGTAATTGAGAAAATTTGCATAGATATGAATTTTTTCTAGGTGTTTAAAAAAAAAATTCTTTATGGTTATTGTAACTAATCAAATTATAAAATATTAAAACAAAAAATAATTAAATTTTTGTTTTATTTAAAATCTAATGGTCATCCAAAGTATTGGACAAAACATTAACAAAACTTTTAAGTATTTAACAAATATTTCAAGTCATTTTTAATTATGTTTTAAGTTATAGTTGCACTATAAGCTCGATTAACTAAAAAATTAAAAACAGAGAATCAAATCTGACGCAACACAAAATTATAAATGATAAAAATAATAAGTCATCTATGAATCTACTATTTGTTTTATATGAATCTACTATTTTTATATGAATCTACTATTTGTTTCTTTTCAATTTATCACAAAATCCTTTTCCACACTACTTCTCTGCATCTTTGAACTTCTTCTCCATTCGTCTAATTTTTGCTCCTTTGTAATGAAATCATTCAAATGAAAAATACTTAAACCAACAGCCATTATTATGGTTTCCCTACTGACAAATACAGTTTTTGGTAAACTTGGCCTTATAAGTCCACTTAAGGCTTCATTTGTTTTCTGGGCTTTTTCATGTAGACATTTATTTAGCAAAGCCTCAGTCATTAAATAATTCAAAATTGGACGATGTAGGCTTTATATCCAAAAAAGGATCGTGTTGGCCCTTGGATCAGTACTTATACCAACTGTTGGCATATTGACGGCAACATTTGTGATGTTCAAGCGAACCATTCGTCTTTGTAAAATAAAACAATTTGTATATATAGCTTTTTTCATACCGTAAACATTGCAGAAGTTAATCTTGTTGCCATACCATGATAATTTTTAATAGAATCAATGAATTTATTAGGTAGTTGATCTTTTCCAGATGTACCTTCGTAAAATTTAACAAGGTTGCGTAATCGGTTCTCAATTATTTCTGCACATGTCCAATAAGTTCGAGTTTAGTTGGTGTTAAACTATGTTTTACGTGTGGCTCAAATATGACATAATTATTAACATGAAGATAAAAGAGATTAAAGAGAATGAATATAAAAATTTTAAGTTTATGATAGAGGAAAATGTTTGCATATATATGAAAACTCAAAATTAATTTAGTAAAAACCAAATATAGCTCTGGTATTGGCATCGTCTATTTTGCGATTTCGATATTCACTTTCTGGTTTGTAGAAGTCTCAGGAGATGTATACAATGATCCAATCACGCATTGAACAATTTATGTAGATACAATGTGGTAAATCCATTTGCTTTGCATTCTAATTAATAACAATAAGTAATAAATAAAATTAATTAATAAATAAAAGTCGTTGCGATCTTATTACAGAGCACCAGGAAAGAGTATTTAAAAAAGGGTATACGCCACCTTCCTTACCGATGTTATAAGACTTGCCCAGGGGTGGCGTTGTAATCACTTAGCGCCAATCACTGCGCCGTAGCGCCGTTATTATTTAACGGACAATTATTTAAATGACAATAAATACAGCAAATTAATTATTTTTGACGTATAATAAAAACAAAACAAAATTAAAAATATTATTTTTGACAAATTTTACAAAAGCAAAATTTTCCATGCCATTTTAAAGTTCTTTTTTTGAACGTCTTTTGACTATTTATTGACATTTCTATATCTAAATGAACTCTAGACAGTTTCATTGTTTAGAGAGTTCCATAGCGAAGTTGCTCTTTATAAGTTATTTTACGTACTTTTACTGTTTTTGAGACTATGGGTGAGAGTATTCATTTTGAGACTATGGGAGGGAACATTAATTTTGAGACTATGGGTGGGAGTACTAATTTTGAGACTATGGGTGGGAGTATTAATTTATTTACTGCAGAGAAGACTAAATGGAAGGGATTGGTAAAAAGATCTTACATAAACTTTGGGTTTAAACTATTTATAGTTTTAAAAACTTCGGTTGTTAAAAACTTCAAGTTCCTAAGGCGGGCGTATGGTTTCAAGTTTCTAAGGTGGGTGTATGGTTTATTTTCTAAGGTGGGTGTATGGTTTATTTTCTAGTTTTAGAGTTTCACCTAATGAGAGATCAAGTTTCTAAGGTGGATGTATGATTTATTTTCTAATTTTAGAGTTTCACCTAATGAGAGATCAAGTTTCTAAGGTGGGTGTATGGTTTATTTTCTAATTTTAAAGTTTCACCTAATGAGAGATCAATTCTCTTATGGACAATACGAAGTTTTGACGAAGTTTTTATATTAATTAGATTTTTTATATATTTTAAGCAAAACATCCAAATCAAAAGACAGTATGTTAAATTTGACAATAAAAAGCATCAAATAAGAAAGAAGTTTGTTTAAATGATTAAAAGTTCTCTTTCACAAAAAAAATTTTTATCATTTAAATCAGTCTTAAATAAAAAAGAAAAAATCTGAGTCTTTAATAAATAAATAAAAATCGTTAATAAAAATATCAAAGAAAATTGGTCCCAATATTAAACCTTGAGGCACACCAAAATCGACATATAAGTAATCTGAAAATGAAGAACCTAATCTTACCCTCTGTTCGCGGGCAGAAAGGTACAACAACAAAAATTTGAGGTTTGTATTAGAAAACCCATAACCTTCTAACTTGGTTATATCAGTAAATCATGAGGAATTAAATCATATGCCTTTGACAAATTTAAAAATATTGAATTAAATATAAACATATTGGTAGGTATGTAGAATTTCGCGATTTACGGAACCGGTATTTGCGCTAAAATTCTGTGTCACGCATTTTGAAGTTTGCTTTTAGTCAGTGAGGAAGAAGCATATTTTGTTGTCTTTGAATTTATAATTGTATAGTAATATAGACATTTTTTTTAAAAAAGAATAGATAAACTTTATTAATCTGTATCTTCTAATTGCAATGAAAAAAAATTTAGGTGAATTTTTTAATGACAACTTAGTATTTTCTGCTTCAGTAAACGTTGAAGATTATGATTTTTTCCAAACAATTCTTGATGTAAAGTTTACATATTTTCTTTGCTCTTGCCAAGTTTCATCAAATTGTTTTGTACAGCACATACCCTATTTTGAAAAATAAATTTAAGCAGCATATTTGGTGCTTAAATTTATTTTTCTGCCTTTCTTTTGAGTGAGAGAGACGCGGGAAGGGGCGAGCGAATGGAGAGGAGCTTAAATTGCTTTTATAAATATAATCATTTATAGTTTGTAAATTTATATATTATGTAAGTTTCCAGAATTAAATAGCTTTTATAAATATAATTGTTAAAAATAATTTATTTAGATTTGATTAAAAAGAAAATAAATAAAAAAGAAAAGATTAAAAAATTAAAAATAAAAAAGAACTTTTTCAGGGGCCAGGAAGCAAAATAGAAGATTTTTTGTATAAAAAAAAATATTTTGTTAAAGTAAGCTTTTAATATAAAATAATGTCCAAGTAAAAATCGTTATCTTGTTGTTTGAATCAGTTTAACCTAAACACATTTCCACAAGTTAGAATAACTTTGAAATCATTATAATTTCAAAGAGAAACACAAAATATAATTATATTTCAGAAAAAAAAAATTAAAATGGGTGGTTATTTTACAATTACTTTTTCAGGCTAATACTTTTGTAACAAACAAGCAAAATTATCAAAGTTGTGGCGCAGTTGTTAGAGCGCTTACTTTAGAAGCAAGAGAACCTGGGTTCGAAGCGAGCTCTGGAAATATTTTGCACCATTAGTAGGCAAAGAGGCGTGAACTTCCTATTTAAATATTCTTCCGCCATGCTCTGTGACAAGACCGTAAAGTCTTCTCGGGACACCTGGAAAAAAAATTACCAAAGTTTTAAGGTAGCCTTTATAAATTGACAAAAACCTAAAAATTTACAAAACTTAAAAAAATTGTGCATCGCGTAAAAATA